TAAATGCTGGAGAGGGTGTGGAGAAAAGGGGACCCTCTTGCACTGTTGGTGGGAATGTAAATTGATATAGCCACTATGGAGAACAGTATGGAGGTTCCTTAAAAAATTAAAAATAGAACTACAGTATGACCCAGCAATCACACTTCTGGGTACCTGAGAAAACCATAATTCAAAAAGAGTCATGTACCACAACGTTCATTGAAGCCCTATTTACAATAGCCAGGTCACGGCAGCAACCTAAGTGTCCATCGACAGATGAATGGATAAAGAAGATGTGGCACATATATACAATGGAATATTACTCAGCCATAAAAAGAAACGAAACTGAGTTATTTGTAGTGGGGTGGATAGACCTAGAGACTGTCATATAGAGTGAAGTAAGTCAGAAAGAGAAAAACAAATACCGTATGCTAACGCATACATATGGATTCTAAAAGAAAAAAAAACGTTCTGAGGAACCTAGGGGCAGGACAGGAATAAAGATGCAGATGTAGAGAATGGACTTGAGGACATGGGGAGGGGGAAGAGTAAGCTGGGACGAAGTGAGAGAGTGGCATGGACATATATACACTACCAAATGTAAAAGAGATAGCTAGTGGGAAGCAGCTGCATAGCACAGGGAGATCAGCTTGGTGCTTTGTGTCCACCTAGTGGGGTGGTATAGGGAGGGTGGGAGGGAGACACAAGAGGAAGGAGAAATGGGGATACACGTATATGTAAAGCTGATTCACTTTGTTATACAGCAGAAACTAATACACCATTGTAAAGCAATTATACTCCAATAAAGATGTTAAAAAAAAGAAAAATTTCATTGATTGATATTTCTTTGGATGTTATTCGGGCTGAAAAGATTTTAAGTGTTAAGTGGTGACTTGTAGATGGCTTTATATCATTAAGTATTTTAGTGAACTGATATATATCAATTGTATATCATTTACATTTCAAATATATTTAAGATGTCTTATTTCTTTTTTTTATTTTTTTTATTTTTTATTTATTTTGGCTGTGCTGGGTCTTCGTTTCTGTGTGAGGGCTTTCTCTAGTTGTGGCAAGTGGGGGCCACTCTTCATCACGATGCGCGGGCCTCTCACTATCGCAGCCTCTCTTGTTGCGGAGCACAGGCTCCAGACGCGTAGGTTCAGTAGTTGTGGCTCATGGGCTTAGTTGCTCCGCGGCATGTGGGATCCTCCCAGACCAGGGCTCGAACCCGTGTCCCCTGCATTAGCAGGCAGATTCTCAACCACTGCGCCACCAGGGAAACCCCAAGATGTCTTATTTCTCAATGGAAGATTGTGATGATGATGATTGTTATTTCTGAGATATTTCCACCTTTTTTCCTATCACATTGGTGATAAGACTTCTCAGATAGGACTTCTCCAAAATAACAAAACTCTCCTTGTGGCAGACAAAATAATACCTCCTCCAGTGCTGTGCCACCTGCCCCCGCCGCAAGAGATGTCCACGTTCTAATCACTGGAAACTGTGAATATGTTATCTTATGCGGCAAAAAGGAATTAAGGTTGCAGATGGAATTTAGATAGCTAACAGTTGACCTTAAAATAGGAAAATTATCCTGGATGATCTGGTGGTCCTAATGTAATCACCAGGGCCCTTAAAAGTGGAAAAGGAAGGCAGAAGAAAAGGCCAGAGTGACACAATGAGATGTGAGAAGGATTAACCCCCATTGCTGGCTTTGCACATAGAGGAAGTGGCTAAAAGCCAATGAACGTGGGTGGCCTCTAGAAGTCAGGAAAGGCAAGGAAACAGATTCTCCCCTAGGGCCTCCAGAAAGGAACACAGCCATGAGACCACCCTGATCTTAGTCCAGTGAGACCCACATCAGATTCAGAAGTGTAAAATAAAAAATTGTACTGTTTTTAAGCCACTAACTTTGTGGTAATTTGTTACCACAACAATAGAAAATTAATATAGATAGTAAACTGGTACATAGATATTACCGAAAAGTGTGGAAGTGGGACACAGAGTTTGGGAAGCACTGTATGCTAAAAGAATACTGAGGGACACACGTGTGTCTAGAGTTGTAATTGGCAAGTAGAAAGCAGGGTTACCTTGGAGGTGGACAAAATTAGGAATTTCACTCTTTTTGTTTTTTTGAATTTTATTTATATTTTTTATACAGCAGGTTCTTATTACTTATCCATTTTATACATACTAGTGTATATATGTCAATCCCAATATCCCAATTTATCACACACACCCCTGGCCACTTTCCCCCCTTGATGTCCACACGTTTGCTCTCTACATCTGTGTCTCAATTTCTGCCCTGCCAACAGGTTCATCTATACCATTATTCTAGGTTCCACATATATGTGTTAATATATACTTGTTTTTCTCTTTCTGCCTTACTTCACTCTGTATGACAGTCTCTAGATCCATCCACGTCTCTACAAATGACCCACTTTTGTTCCTTTTCATGGCTGAGTATTATTCCATTGTATATATGTACCACATCTTCTTTATCCATTTGTCTGTCATTGGGCATTTAGGTTGCTTCCATGTCCTGGCTATTGTAAATAGTGCTGCAGTGAACATTGGGGTGCATGTGTCTTTTTGAATTATGGTTTTCTCTGGGTATATGCACAGTAGTGGGATTGCTGTGTCATATGGTAATTCTATTTTTAGTTTTTTAAGGAACCTCCATACTGTTCTCCATAGTGGCTGTATCAATTTACATTCCCACCAACAGGGCAAGAGGGTTCCCTCTTCTCCACATCCTCTCCAGCGTTTGTTGTTTATAGATCTTCTGATGATGCCCATTCTAACTGGTGTGAGGTGATACCTCACTGTAGTTTCGCTTTGCATTTCTCTAATAATTAGTGATGTTCAGCAGCCTTTCATGTGCTTCTCGGCCACCTGTATATCTTCTTTGGAGAAATGTCTATTTAAGTCTTCTGCCCCCTTTTTGATTGGGTTGTTTGTTTCTTTAATATTGAGCTGCATGAGCTGTTTATATATTTTGGAGATTAATCCTTTGCCATTAATTCATTTGCAAATACTTTCTCCCATTCTGAGGGTTGACTTTTCATCTTGTTTGTAGTCTCCTTTGCTGTGAAAAAGCTTTTAAGTTTCATTAGGTCCCATTTGTTTATTTTTGTTTTTATTTCCATTACTCTAGGAGGTGGATCAAAAAAGATCTTGCTGTGATTTATGTCAAAGAGTGTTCTTCCTATGTTTTCCTCTAAGAGTTTTCTAGTGTCCAGTCTTACGTTTAGATCTCTAATCCATTTTAGGTTTATTTTTGTGTATGGTGCTAGGGGTGTTCTAATTTCATTCTTTTACATGTAGCAGTCCAGTTTTCCCTGCACCACTTATTGAAGAGACTGTCTTTTCTCCATTGTATATCCTTGCCTAGCTTGTCATAGATTAGTTGACCAACGGTGTGTGGGTTTATCTCTGGGCTTTCTATCCTGTTCCATTAATCTATATTTATGTTTTTGTGCCAGTACCATACTGTCTTGATTACTGTAGCTTTGTAGTATAGTCTGAAGTCAGGGAGTCTGATTCCCCCAGCTCTGTTTTTTTCCCTCAAGACCGTATTGGCTATTTGGGGTCTTTTGTGTCTCCATACAAATTTTAAGATTTTTTGTTCTAGTTCTGTAAAAAATGCCGTTGGTAATTTGATAGGGATTGCACTGAATCTGTAGATTACTTTGGGTAGTATAGTCATTTTCACAATATTGATTCTTCCTATCAAAGAACATGGTATATCTCTCTATCTGTTTGTATCATCTTTAATTTCTTTCATCAGTGTCATAGTTTTCTGCATACAGGTCTTTTGTCTCTCTAGGTAGGTTTATTCCTAGGTATTTTATTCTTTTTGTTGCAATTGTAAATGGGAGTGTTTCCTTAATTTCTTTTTCAGATTTTTCATCATTATTGTATAGGAATGCAAGAGATTTCTGTACATTAATTTTGTATCCTGCAACTTTACCAAATTCATTGATTGGCTCTAGTAGTTTTCGGGTCGCATCTTTAGGATTCTCTATGTATAGTATCATGTCATCTGCAAACAGTGACAGTTTTACTTCTTCTTTTCCAGTTTGTATTCCTTTTATTTCTTTTTCTTCTCTGATTGCCATGGCTAGGCCTTCCAAAACTATGTTGAATAATGGTGGCAAGAGTGGACATGCTTGTTTTATACCTGATCTTAGAGGAAATGCTTTCAATTTTTCACCATTGAGAATGATGTTTGCTGTGGGCTTGTTGTATATGGCCTTTATTATTATGTGGAGGTAGGTTCCCTCTATGCCCACTATCTGGAGTGTCTTTATCATAAAGGGTGGTGAATTTTGTCAAATGCTTTTTCAGCATCTATTGAGATGATCATATGGTTTTTATTCTTCAATTTGTTAATATGGTGTATCACATTGATTGATTTGCATATATTGAAGAATCCTTGCATCCCTGGGATAAATCCCACTTGATCATGGTGTATGATCCTTTTAATGTGCTGTTGGATTCTGCTTGCTAGTATTCAGTTGAGGATTTTTGCAACTATATTCATCAGTGATATTGGTCTGTAATTTTCTTTTTTTGTAGTGTCTTTGTCTGGTTTTGGTATCAGGGTGATGGTGGCCTCATAGAATGAGTTTGGGAGTGTTCCTTCTTCTGCAATTTTTTGGAAAAGTTTGAGAAGGATGGGTGTTAGTTCTTTCTCTAAATGTTTCATAGAATTCACCTGTGAAGCCATCTGGTCCTGGACCTTTGTTTGTTGGAAGATTTTTAATCACAGTTTCAATTTCATTACTTGTGATTGCTCTGTTCATGTTGTCTATTTCTTCCTCATTCAGTCTTGGAAGGTTTTGCCTTTCTAAGAATTTGTCCATTTCTTCCAGGTTGTCAGTTTTATTGGCATAGAGTTGCTTGTAGTAGTCTCTTAGGACGTGCTGTATTTCTGTGGTGTCTGTTGTAACTTCTTTTTCATTTCTAATTTTGTTGATTTGAGTCCTCTCCCTCTTTTTGTTTTTCTTTTTTTTTTTTTACAGAAAAGGCTTTATTACAGTTTGAAAGATTGACATTTTGGGGAGAAAGGCACGACAATTATTATTTTTACTTTTCTGTGCATATTGCAAAAAGGAGATATGTCAAGTTCCCACTCTGGAGTTTTTGAAACCTCTCATCTTAGATTGCTGTGGCTTCTTGGGTGAGGTATCCTGGTTTTAGAGCTTAAAGCATTTCTCACTGTATCTATGAATAGTCACACATCCATGATAGGACACTGGCCTGGGCATTGCAGCTACCCCTGTGATGATACTTGTTGCAGGATCATAACAGAGAATAGTGTCTGTGGCTTCTCCATTTTCCCGTCTTCCACCCAGGATATATATTTTACCATTACATACAGATATACCACAGTTTTCCTGTCGGCTGAATGTATTCTGTACATGCATCCAGTAATCTTCAACGGGATCATAACAGTATATTGCCTTGGTCAGTCCACCAGCAACATATATCAGGTTGTTTAAGGATACGGCTGTTATACACCTCTTGGCAATTGGGATAGCTGCACGAAGTAGCCAAGAATTGGTTTCTGGATCATAAGATTGAACCTTATCAGAACAAGTATTATCATCAGGTCCTCTACCAATCACAAACAATTTGCCTATACAGCTAGTCACGGCAGGAGAACTCACTGCTTCCTTAAGGGGGGCAACTTCAGTCCATCGATTTGAAAAGGAATCATAACATTCTACACTGCTAAGTCTGTTTTGCCCATCATAGCCTCCAACAACATATACTTTACCAAGGAGGACAGCCATTTTGTGACGCCATCTGCCTTTATTTAGAGAAGCAACTCTGATCCAAATATTCAACTGTGAGTTATAAATCCAGACATCACGGCCATTGATTCTTCCACCTGAAACAAGAATGTCATTCCTTAGAGCACAGACCGCATACTCTGATTTGGTAAATTCTGGAAGCTTAGCCAAAGACTTCCACTCTCCTGTCACAGGATCATAGCACTCAGTGTATGGAAGATTAAATCCTCCAACTCGTTCACAGCCTCCAACGACAACTATCACCTCAGAATAGCCAGTTGACCTGCGTGGCCTTGTCCTTGGGGACATCATTTCATTCCCAAGTATGTGGTACCGTCTTGCTTCATGCAACAGCTGGTAACACTCAGGAGAATTCTGGATCAGTTGGTCCACCTCAACTGTTTGAACAAAGTAGTTGGGATGCAACAGAGGGAGTCTCACATGTGTCAGGAGCTCATGTAACAGTGGTCTTCTCAGATCAACAGCACGATAGACCCAACGCATGACAGCTTCAAAAACCATCTCCTCTTTGCCAATGACAAGTTCATCACTACAAATATAATCAATAAGTTCATCTTTGTCAAGCTCAAGAAATTCTTCATGCTGGGACACATCCTCAAAAGTCTGTAATGCAAAATGCTTGCCTTTTGTGAAGAGTGTTTTGAGGGAATGGGTATCAGCAAAGCGCTGGATTCCTAAGCAATTGCAAGGATCAAGTTGCTCCTCCAAGAACTTGGCACATGCATCACGGAGAACACTAATCTGAAAAAGGCTTGATGTTTCAAAGAGATACTGTACATTTTCTGTAGTGATCTTCACTTTTCCAGTATAAACATACTGCAAAAAACATTCCATAGCTTCAGCTAAAATACCATTGATCTCAACCAACATTTCTCGGCTTTCCCTGTGGTCATTACAAAACATAGCTCTGAAGTAGCTACTACAGGCTGAGAGAACAGCTCTATGGCAAGGAAATTCTTTTCCTTCCACACAAATGATAACATCTGTGAACAAACGACTACCTCGGAATTCATTAAATATCTGGACTATGTTTTCAGCATGGGATGATCCTGAAGAGAAGTCAAAAAACTCACGGCCTGTCAGAGATTTAGGGTCCATTTCAAAAACTTTACGCTTTGTTGCTGGTGAATCACGCACTCTGAGATCCTCTCTGTTTAGTCTTCGTCCCAATATTAGTACCATTGTTACATCAGTTGACTATATAATTGTTGAGAAATAACTGTTAAGGATCTTCCTTATGTGGCTTTTTAGCATTTGCTTGATCAAAGCCCCAGTTTTTCCACACCAACCTAATCAGTAAGGGCTAGGGACTGAGGAGGTCAGTGTACGAGGTCCAAAGGTGTTATATAGTATCAGAATTGATTTTAGAGTGTAGAACTGCAATCAAGCTTATTTTTCCTTTAGCATGCAGGACCCCTTAACTTCCAGCAGCGAAGCACTGTCTCCCCTCTCCCTCTTTTTCTTGATGAGTCTGGTTAATGGTTTATCAATTTTGTTTATTTTCTCAAAGAACCAGCTTTTAGTTTTATTGATCTTTGCTATTGTTTTCTTTGTTTCTATTTCATTTATTTGTGCTCTAATCTTTATTTCTTTCCTTCTGTTAACTTTTGGTTTTGTTTGTTCTTCTTTCTCTAGTCCTTTAGGCTTAAGGTTAGATTGTTTATTTGAGATTTTTCTTGTTTCTTGAGGTAGGCTTGTATTGCTATAAACTTCCCTCTTAGAACTGCTTTTGCTGCATCCCATAAGTTTTGGATCGTCTTGTTTTCATTGTCATTTGTCTCTAGGTATTTTTTGATTTCCTCTTTGATTTCTTCAGTGATCTCTTGGATATTTAGTAACATATTGTTTAGCCTCCATGTGTTTGTTACGTATTTTTCCATGTAATTGATTTCTAATCTCATAGTGCTGTGGTCAGAAAAGATGCTTGATATGGTTTCAATTTTGTTAAATTTACTGAGGCTTGATTTGTGACCCAAGATATGATATATCCTGGAGAATGTTCTGTGCGCACTTGAGAAGAAAGTGTAATCTGCTGGTTTTGGATGGAATGTCCTGTAAATATCAATGAAATCTATCTGGTCTATTGTGTCATTAAAAGCTTCTGTTTCCTTATTAATTTTCTGTTTGGATAATCTGTCCAATGGTTTAAGTGAGGTGTTAAATCCCCCCCCCCATTTTATTGTATTACTGTCGATTTCCTCTTTTATAGCTGTTAGCAGTTGCCTTATGTATTGAGGTGCTCCTCTGTTGGGTGCATATATATTTATTATTTTTATATATTCTTCTTGGATTGATTCCTTGACCATTATGTAGTGTCCTTCCTTGTCTCTTGTAACATTCTTTCTTTTAAAGTCTATTTTATCTGATATGAGTATTTCTACTCCAGCTTTCTTTTGATTTCCATTTGCATGGAATATCTTTCTCCATGCCCTCACTTTCAGTCTGTATGTGTCCCTACATCTGAAGTGGGTCTCTTGTCGACAGCATATAGATGGGTCTTGTTTTTGTATCCATTCAGCAAGCCTGTGTCTTTTGGCTGGAGCACTTAATCCATTCATGTTTAAGGTAATTATTGTTATGTATGTTCTTATTACCATTTTCTTAATTGTTATGGGTTTGTTTTTGTAGGTCCTTTTCTTCTCTTGTGTTTCCCACTTAGAGAAGTTCCTTTAGCATTTGTTGTAGAGCTGGTTTGGTGGTGCTGAATTCTCTTAGCTTTTGCTTGTCTGTAAAGCTTTTGATTTCTCCATCGAATCAAATGAGATCCCTGCTGGGTAGGGTAATGTTGGTTGTGGGTTCTTCCCTTTCATCACTTTAAATATTTCATGCCACTCCTTTCTGGCTTGTAGACTTTCTGCTGAGAAATCAGCTGTTAACCTTATGGGATTTCCTTTGTATGTTATTTGTCCTTTTTCCCTTGTTGCTTTCAAAAATTTTTCTTTGTCTTTAATTTTGCCAATTTGATTATGTGTCTCAGCAGGTTTCTCCTTGTGTTTATCCTGCCTGGGACTCTGCACTTCCTGGACTTGGGTGGCTATTTCCTTTCCCATGTTAGGGAAGTTTTCGACTATAATCTCTTCAAATATTTTCTCTGGTCCTTTCTCTCTCTCTTCTTCTTCTGGAAGCCCTATAATGCAAGTGTTGTTGCATTTAATGTTGTCCCAGAGGTCTCTTAGGCTGTCTTCATTTCTTTTCATCCTTTTTTCTTTATTCTGTTCCACAGCAGTGAATTCCACCATTCTGTCTTCCAGGTCACTTATCCATTCTTCTGCCTCAGTTATTCTGCTATTGATTCCTTCTAGTGTAGTTTTCATTTCAGTTATTGTATTGTTCATCTCTGTTTGTTTGTTCTTTAATTATTCTAGGTTTTTGTTCTCTAAATCTTCTAGGTCTTTCTTAAACATTTCTTGCATCTTCTTGATCTTTGCCTCCATTCTTTTTCTAAGGTCCTGGATCATCTTCACTATAATTATTCTGATTTCTTTTTCTGGAAGGTTGCCTATCTCCACTTCATTTAGTTGTTTTTCTGGGGTTTTTACTTGTTCCTTCATCTGGTACATAGCTCTCTGCCTTTTCATCTTGTCTATCTTTCTGTGAATGTGGTTTTTGTTCCACAGGCTGCAGGATTGTAGTTCTTCCTGCTTCTGCAGTCTGCCCTCTCAGGAATTTCACCCTTTGGCTGAAACTTTCTGTTAACCTAACTACATTAGAGCAAACTGAGGTTAACCACAATATGAGGCACCTTCTCTCTCTGGCCTTTAGCTACATTAAGAGAACAACCACCACGGCAATTCCAAAGTCTTTGTGTTACATTCAAAATTGCACCTGGCTATCTACTAATATAATTTCAAGCATACAACATGATGCTCCTCCAATAGCAAAAAGCAACATGGGAGTGGTAAAAAAAAAAAAGTTATTAGCTGCAGTTCAGGGAAAAGGGCACTATAAAAAGGATTGGTAATCTGCTAAAGGGCTCTAGCAAAACCCCAGTAAACTGAGATCACATATAACATCTAAATTATAGGGAAGATGTCCTATTCTCTAATTTTTGATTAGCTATGAACGTTGAGAAGCCAAACTACTCTCCTCTTTATAAAAGTTCACTTACTAAGGTAAGGAAGTGGTTAGACTTGCCATTTTGCCTGAAGCAGTTACCTGATCTAAGGATATGTTTTTGTGTATAGTAGTCATCTGTGCTACTAAAAAGTAATGGGGAGAGGAGAAGGAAGTAACACTGATAGGGGAAAAACCTTGATTCCTACAAAAGAACAGAAAAAGAGTTGAGACTAATTTACTAATGTTTTTCTTTTGGGGGGGAAAACCTATCTCTCTTTGTGTATACACATAGACACACACAAATATATGCATATATATTACATATATCTGACAGATAATATTTTCCAAAGATATCTCCCAACCCACATTCTCTTATGCTAGGTGACCTTGCCATTCTGCCATTAAGAGATGGAGTCTTGTGACATCAGCAGCATGGCCAAGTGACACAGTCTCTCCCCTTCAATCTACAACCAGTAAAACACCCACAGCTCAACAAAGGTGCCTCTACCCAACATACCAGGGTGCCAAAGAATTCCACACACCTGTTCATCTAAAGGTGCGTGGAGTGGAACACACAGGTGGAAATAGGGGAATCTTGGAGGTGGTGCCTGCAATCCTGGCATTCCAGAGAACGCAGTAGCAGCAGGGGAGGTGGTGCATACAATTCCAGCCTCCTGGCTGCAGTGGCACCTGTGGCCACAGGTAACTGGGCAGCAGTGGCAGTGGGGTCTGGCACCCTGACACTCCAACCACTGAGGTGCCCACGATGCCAGCCCCTTTCCTCCAATCCTGCAGCAGCAGAGCCCATGGAGCTTAAAACACCAGACATAGCAGAGGCTCCCATGCATCCTGACTCCCATCCTCCAGCCTCCCTCTCTCCCTGCAGCAGCAGAGCCTGACACTCAGGGGAACCTGCACGCAGCAGAAGAGCCCACCATCCTGGTGCCCCAGGCAGCAACACCAGTGATACTGACAGTAGCACAGCACCAATGACCCTAGAGGCACAAGAAGCCATAACAAGGGCTCAGGTCAACACCTCTGAGAGGCAGTGGAGGGCATAAAGGGCCAACTCTCCATTCTAGTCAGAGGCAGCTCAGGTAAGAAAACAAAAACCTGTGCTATAGTGCCACCTACTGGAATACAGAAGAAAAGCCTTTAACTTCTAACCTGTTGAATCATTAGAATCAAGTAGAATGGTGTTTGCTACTTCAAATGCATCAGTAGATAAACAACTAACTCATCAAGCACCATGAATACCCACCACAGTAACACTGTACCACAAAGAGAAAATGACAGTTCTCCAGAAACCAAACTTAAAGTCATGGAATACTGCAATCTAACTGATAGAGAATTCAAATAGCTGCCATGAAGAAACTCAATGAGATACAAGAAAACTCAGAAACACAGTTCAGTGAACTCAAAAATAAAATTAATGAACAGAATACTTTACCAAAGATATTGAAACTCTAAAAAAGAAACAAACAGAAATTTGGGAGTTGAAGAACTCAATATCTGAGATGAAGAATGCATTAGAAATCACTGGAAATAGGGCAGACCATAGGGAAGAGAGAATTAGTGAGCTCAAAGATAGAAGTGTAGAAGTGATACCAGTAGAAGGAAGAGAAGTGCATACTTAAAAAATGAGGAAATTCTATGAGTGCTATCTGACTTTTTTAGGAAGGGCAACAGAGTAATGGGTATCCCAGGAGAAGAAAGAGAGAGAAGGGAGCGAAGAGTTTATTTAAAGAAACTATAGCTGAGAACTTTCGAAACCTGGGGAAGGAGCTGGATATACAAGTCCATGAGGCAAAGAGAACACTTAATTAGCCCAATGCAAAAAGACCTCTTCCAAGACACACTGTATTAAAACTGTCAAAAGTCAATGACGAAGAATTTTAATGGCAGCCAGGGAAAAAAGGATGGTAACTTACCATCCAGTAGGCTATCGGCAGATTCCTCAACAGAAACTCTACAGGCCAGGAGGGAGTAAAACAACACTCTCAAAATACTGAAAGATAAAAATTATCACCCTCAAATACTCTATCCAGCAAAGTTCCATGCAGATATAAGGAGAAATAAAGACTTTACCAGACAAACAAAAGCTAAGGGAGTTCATTAACAGTAGACCTGACTTACAAGAAATGCTGAAAGCAGCTCTTCCACAAGAAACAAAAAGGCAAGAGTACACAAAAATTTGAGTAAGGTAATAAATAGACAGGCACAAGCAGAAAATCTCAACTCTTTCTCTTTATCAGAATAGGTTTTTATTTTTTATTCTTTTTGGCCATGCCACGTGGCCTGCAGGATCTTAGTTTCCCAACCAGGGATTGAACCCAGGCCCTCTGTAGTGAAAGCACAGAGTGCTCACCACTGGACCAC